AGCCGACTATAGTATATGGTATGGGTTTTTCTCACTGTTGCCTATAATTGCTTACATCCACTTCATTTTAACTTTGGTGGATAGTTGTCTCATTGGCAATCGTACTACATCTCCTTATTTTTATAATAATTGGTTAACGTGGCAATACAATGTATAAATGGGATCCATCAGCGAAAACTGTGTAAACATACATCACAGAAATACAACACAACTGAATAAAACATTCAAACACACATACAATTAAATCAAACAAAGATGCAAACATAAAAGTTTTTTGTACTTGATAATACAGTCAGTATAGTAAAGCATAATGACATATTATAACACTTTCCGGATAAAATACAAAATAAGCAAAATATAAATACAAGGGTTTATGAGATGTAACAACACTACAAAAACATCATGTGCCCGAATCGCGTCTCTAGATCTGGACCCATCCACATAAGGAACTAAAAGCCCAAAACCTGAAAGCTGGATGAGCATATACCGAGCCACGTCAAGATTCACATACAATCAATAGGAACATTATAGTACTAAGACAAATAAAAGAAATTCTGTAAAATAGATAAAATTCTACACAGCTTCGACTCCTAGAATCTATAACTCAAGACCATCCTGTATTATTTATGAAGTAGACACTCAATATTTATCTATTATAAGTCTTGGTTAATAGTGAACTTGGTACTTTCCAATGAATCTTTTGAGAACATGGACGAGTTGTTCTTTGCCATTAATTGCCAAAACCCTGGCTCATTTCTTTTTTGCTCAGACACTGACGTTTTTACAATTCTGAGTAGCAGCTGCAAGCTCCTAAATATCGTATGAGTTGAGAAATGTATAATCCGTACGCGGGTGAAGTTGGTATATTGCTGCTAAGGTGGGGAAAAATTATAATTAAAAAAAAATCATCTCGTTTGTCATAGACTCTGGTATTGAGATAACATATGTAGTCAAATTCGGGGTATGTCTAAAAATGAGGCTGAGGGAGCCGTATATTATGTGGTGTCTGTAATCTTTAGTTCAGGACTATTAAAAAAGTTTGTTTTGTCAGCATACTTTTATTTTACTGAACTATCTTACACACTAAAGATCAAGTTTCAAATATATCATGATATATTGGAATGCGACCATTGTAGATACGAAACGTGATTGTTCCTTAATGATTCGAATAGGACCGTTTGTCGCCTTTTATGTTTTCTTAAAAAGTACTGCATTTTTTCTTTACCATAGTGCTCAGTATCATTAAGGAAGTTGAATCAATTTGACAGACATATATTTTTTTTTTCTGATTTGTTCCACCTTTTGAAAGTACAGCAGATTTTGAAGTAAAATTAAAAACTTAATTACATTCACGGTCTGATACCCGATCTTTCACGATCTGATCGCAATGCATGACCAACGTTAGTTATTCTTTCACGATCGATTTTCTTGATATACCGAAATTATGACACCCGTTATAATGATATCTCCTTATCATATAAATATTATTTTAAATGAAAGATTTGTAGGTTGAAAATTCGAAAGATGACTAAGAATAAACCAAAAGAAAATTGTGTGAAATTACTTCTATTACAAACATCTTGAAAAAAGCCCAATTTGATTTGGTGATATATACGAACTTAATTGATGAACGAAAACTCCGTCAGGAACATCCACACTTTATTTGGTATTTTACAATACATAATCTAGTCATTAATTTATTCATTGGATTCTTTCATTAGGTCGAATGAATTCACAGTTTATTTTGGATGTTCATTGTCAAGGTCAACAGCAACAATGTATTAGTCTATATACCATAGTTATATGTTCATAAGTTTTCAATCACATCACGATGCGAAGCTATTAGTTTCAAATGATATACATGCCATCTTACAGGAGTAATTGCCCATCAAAAACGACTTTTACATATTTTTGTATTTTTGGTCAAATCTATACCCTTACAGAACTGAAACGTATGCTGCAGATCTGCAGCAGACTTCCTGCAGGTTTGCTGCAAACAAAAAGCTTGCAGGAATTCTTTGAATAATGTTTGCAGCTATAGCTATATAGCTGCAAACCTCCTGCAAACATTGCAGCTTTTTGCTGCAAGTTTGCAGAAACAATTATGTTTGCAGTAAGATTGCAGGAAAAACTAGAATATAAGGGATATTCACAGCTAGATTGCAAAAATCTTTGACAATTCTATATGTTTACAAGAGCATTGCAAGAATCACATAAAATGACTGAGCATGCCTATTGGTAACTTCCTGGAAGACAAAGATTTGAAATTCAGTGCTTTATTATGTTGATGGTGTTTGAGTCATGTTATATATTAGTATTCAGAGAGGCATATTAGGTTGGATATTAAATGTTTAGTTTTCAAAGACATTTTTTGTAAGTACAAATTCTTCATAAAACTGTAAACTTATGAAATTTGTTCCCTCTGTCACGGAATAGAAGTTCCTTCATAATATAAGTTCCAAATGGAAACAATATTCTGGAATATTACTTCCACTGGAATAAATATTACAGTAAATGTTCCTAACGGAATATATGGTATAGAATATTTGTTCCAACAGGCTTACAGCAAATATTTGCAGGAGGCTGATTTTTTCAGTAAGGGTAGTTACTAGCTAATTTAAAAAAAAACCATGTAAAGAACAAAAATCATGAGCAAGACAAGATCTGCAAATAAATCAGCATGGCAAAAATTGTCAGTGACTACTCCTTTTAGTAGTTATTGTCCTTTCATGAACCTATTTTACCCAATTTTTGAATTGTAAACTTTAATTACTGTGTGCATGCAAAGATTCAGAGAAAGACAAGATCTATAGTTAATCAAAATAAATGAAGTTGTCCTTATATACACAATGTAGGAGTAATGGCACTTATATGAATATTTTACCCATTTTCTTGCGTTGGCCAAAATAAGACAGAGAAAAACTATAAACAGCAAAAGTGATCAGCATGGCAAATAGGTCAACAAAGTCGAAATTAGAAATGTACATTCTTACAGATGTTATTCTCTTAAATTACAATTTTTACAAATTTTTTTGGTATTTTGGACAAAAAACTATAGGAGAGAGAAACTGCAGCAATATAAGATCAACAAAAAAGAAATCTTGAATAATATTTTAGTCTTAAATTTTGAAAATGCAAATAGATCTGGGTAAGCGACACAGACTCTTTATAGCCTCCATTTTTTTCAGTTTTTGTTTATAGTAGTTTTCTAGCCTGGATGAAGTGCTGTTCAGACGGAGTTTATGTCAGTTAAAGGGGAACCAATTATAAGTCAATGATATTTGGTATGCAGTTTTTGGTATCAACATCTGCATTTTATAGCTGACTATGCGGTACGGGCTTTGGCAATCATACCACATCTTCTTTTTATATTTATATAAATTCAATGGAGATTATTTGGTCCTGCATCATCAGTCATGGTTGATTGACTTTGAATGTTTTGCATAGTTTACATGTTTTGCCATTTTATAATTTCAACATTTGCATTTAACTATCAAAATAACATAAAGTTGAGACTAATATCTCCGTGTCAACGCTAACTGTTGTCAAACTGATTAAAATTCCTATGATGACAATAATGATGGCTGTTTAATGCCCAGTGGCACATTAAATATTACATATTCAGGACAAGAATATATTAATGGGATACGAATATTAACCCTGCTTTTTACTGAGTTGGATTTTGAACTTACTATTTCATAAGGATCGAAGCAGTCCCCAAGAAGGCATGTCACCTTACCCCACCACATTATTCTGACTACGAGCCAACCGGTCTTTGCTCTTTCACCTTGATGTCACGTGCTTAGCGAAGAATTAATAAATACTTGGTTTTACCTTACCGTCGTTTAAATTCAGATCTATCATGACTCGCTTAATCGTCAAAGCAATATATAGGCATAGCCAAATCAAATTGTTATTTTAAACATATGTTAAATGTCAATTTTACATTTCAAAGTTAATTTTTGAGCGATCTGTGTGTTTTGTTTGAATACAGTTTTGAACTTCAAGATTAATCCATGTTAAAAAAAACCTGAAAAGGGACGTTTCGTAGGAAGGCAATATGTATTGATTGTTAATAAAAAATAAGATAAAATAAAATGTTGTCTTGATAGATTTTTTTATCGGGGAATATGAACAAATAAGTCCTTCTTTGTAAATATCCGCCTGGTTAACCCAGTGGTTTCCAAGGCTTTGAGAAATCATTCTTCTTAACTGGACCAGACTATTTTTTACAGGACATTCACACATATGATATTATTTGGACAAAATTAAAATTTTCACTGGTCATTTGGTCCAGTAATGCATATCACTTTTAATACTGGACCAAACCAATTTTTACTGGTCTTTGCCCAATGTCCTGCCAATGACTACTGTTGACCTGTGTTGTTCGATTGTAGTTTCATCCAAATATCAATACTCAAATGTTATGGGGATTTTTCAAAATTCCAAGAAAGGTCCTAGAAAACCCAACATATTTCATTGAAATAAGGTTTATGTTTGCATATTATATATAACAATGTATTTTCGATGAACTTTCTCGTGTCCAAATAACCATTTAGTCTATATTCAAATGTAAAAAAAAATGTGAATTAACATTCAGGGCTGTAGTTAGTTTAGTCAAGAAATTTTTATTAGATCATTTACCCATTCAGACATATAACTACTCTGTGAATATTCAAACAAAACATAAATCTTTACATAAAGTGTGGTAATTGTAACGTATTATTTTTTTTTTTCATTGAACAATTAGAGATCATTGCAATTTGATATCGACTGATTAATTTAATAATGATGTAACCAAACAACAAATTTAATAAAACAGACAAAGTGAGGTGTAACCTCTCCATCAGTTTTGTTATCATGTTGAAAATGAAACACAAAATGCGAGGCCCGGTGACCATAACTATAAAAAGAAGTACGAAAAGTAGACTTAAATATTAAAGAGAAGATTGTTCTCTCATTTAATAAATTCATCTCATGTGTTTTGTTATTGCAGAGTTTTATGGATTTGCATAATAATTTTCTGTGGTAGTATTATGACATACAATATGGCAGACAGACTGATGTATTATCTACAGTCTCCAGTAAACGTTAATGTGAAGATCCACCACAATACCTCACTCATATTTCCATCAGTTACCATCTGTAATCAGAATGCATTCAGGTATGTATTTGTTAAACTCATTGATTTGAACAGAAATAAGTTTAAGTTTTTTAGCATTGAAATTACAATGTTCTTCTTTCATTTTCCTCACATCTCCCAAATTATTTTCTGGCTGTGTCAATGGTTTATTAAAGTAAAAGTTAAGTTGAACAATCATAGTTCTACTATTGTTTTACCCCAGCAAATAAAAGGGGGATATATTGGTTTACATCCGTCTGTTCGTTTATCACATGAAATTTTTTCTCAAGAACTACAAATGATATCTTTCTGAAATTTAGTATCAAGCTTCATGTGAGCATGTTATACTGTGTGATGCATTTTGAGATTCATCTCTCAATTTCTCCCTGTTTATTGGATACTTATATATTCTTACTAGTGTTGTCAATGGTTAATCGGTTAACCTTTGGAAGGACCGAATATCGAATACCAAAAATGCTAACCGGTTAACCGGACCTTTTTTCAATTTTAAAAGATTTGATGTAAATGTGTATCGAAATCATTAATAAATTTTAAAATGACACTCTTGCTAAATAATTTGACAGATCAATTAATCAGTTTATTGATTACTATAACTGTTAACCTTGAAAACACTCCAATTTTACAAAATTAATTAACCCAAAAACAACTTGTCTATCAACTAGGGGCAAAATCTAAAGTAAACATAATTAGCGTACATTATATTTTAAACAGTTGTAAGCTGATTAAATTTAACAATTTACTTTATTATTTCACTTTGATTAAATATTGCGTAGACCTACAAGTAAAGATTCCACCTCCATCTTCTAAGGCTTTGTCACACTTTCGGGGCACACTTTAAACGAAATGACGACTTAAAAATGTTAAAACACAAATTATGTGAATGGAATTAAAGTAGAGTACATTTGTACGAGTAACACGCTTAAAATCATTTCAAATTGTAACACTATATATTTTTTTCTGAAACACCAAAGAAAATGAAACAATCACCGCTTTTATACTTTGTCAACTCCCCGAGATCAAGAAGATTTTCATCTCAATCTGATGTTATTAGAGGTTGGTTAATTTAAAACGTATCCAAAGTATCCGATACGTTGACGTATACGCATCTGGGAGAATATGCTAAAATAATAACCACGATCGAGAGTATTACCCGATATACAGTCAAGGGTACTACTTGTACAAGTAATCTTTATTTACTTGAAGAAGTAAAAAAATATACTTATATAAGTTAATTATAATGTTTGAATAATCTCCCCTTAATTTTCTCAAAAATTCACTTGTATAAGTAATTTTTTTTTACAATCCCACAAAAATTCTCAATGTATGAGATGTAAAAACATGTCTTTAATGATCTTTCCCAGGTTAGCTCATAGTTTTTTATCCTAAGTATTTGTGCAAGGCCTACAAAAATTGCTCCTTGGGGACTTGTAAATGAGTAGTGTTCTGAAGATAACAGACAAAAGAGATTTTCATTGTCCATGAAATTACACTTAAATGATTAGTTAAGACATCTGCAAAGGACAGACAATTTAAAATTCTATTAGAACAAAGAAGTCCTAAGAATTCAAGAAAAGAAGTCAGATAGGATGACTTTTTCACTTGTATAAGAAAAAAAATCGGAATGTCTAAGGGACATAACTATGCCAATTTTTTTTTTACCTATACAAGTAAATAAAATACACTTGTATAAGTATCCTACAAATTTACTTATATAAGTATATTAACATTACTTCTTCAAGTAAAAAAAAATTACTTGTACAAGTAGTACCCCTGACTGATATACAATTTCCAAAGAATATAAACGTGAATCTATCTTTGTGGCCATAACTGATTAATTTGCACCTGTTTATTTTTAAATGCCTCATTTAAATTTCGAACCATAGAAGACAGTCAATTTTAAGGTTCATGTGGACCCTTATCTCAAAACTTACTCTGAGTACACTCAAACCTGTGCATCTGGAAAAGTTTTAAGGCATAGCATGCCCTAGATAAATAAAATTCAAATGCATTGTATGTTTTAGAAAATTTAAAACTTTTACTGGATTTTGCAGTGCACTTTTTTTCGTCCCTGCAGAAGATGATAAAATTAACCAACAGTTGAGTTTCACTTGATAAGGTCCACTCAGGTACACAGTTTTAATCATAAATTATTGTCAGATATCTATTGTCGACTTCAATTATTACATGTGGGTAAGTTCTCAAACCTCTTTCACAACTTAGTTTATTTTGCCACCTTCTGGAGGAATGAAAAAAAGTGCACTGCAAAATCCTTAAAATTTAAGTTTTTAATTTTCTAAAACAAAATATATTTGAATTTTATTTATCTAGAGCATGCTATGCCTTATAACTTTTCCAGATACACAGGTTTGTCTGTACTCAGAGTTAATTTTGAGGTGAAAATGCAGTCATTTTAGCCAAAGGGTCCACATGAACCTTAAACGTCTTCTTATCTGGAGATATACTTTCCAAAAACCAACATATTCTACAGAGTTTTAAGGTTTATGGTTTATGGCCCTTCTGTAAGCCTGTTTATTACGAAATTTTCAAATTGTACTTATTTCAAAACAGTAAAAATACTGATTAAAAGAGACGTGCCATTTTTTACATATACCAGAGGGAAATGTCGTTCATAGAGATTACATTATTGTCTAATTGCATTTAAAAGAAAATATGGATTTTGTGGCAAATCAAGCTAAGACTTTATTACAGAGACTTTCGTTATAAAATTTAAAACCTAGATTACTAACTATATTCATGATATTATCCATGTTGTTCCAGCGTTTAATTATTGTTTACAAAAAGTCCTAAACAACCTTTACAATCCAAAAAACCTCGTGCTGAGTCACTAAAGTCGAGCGCATCCTAGAAGTTGTACTTGAATTGGTCCATGTTTGTAGTACTTGTTTTAACTAATATCTTTACAAGGTAAATCATTGCTAGCACTGCATGCAGTAATCCCCTATCTATTAAGTACAGAATTGTCAAATATAAGAGTACACGGAGAAAAGCTGTGGATTTTCTATAAAATCTCTACATGTTTAGCATTGAAACAATTAAAGGGTACATAACCCTGAAGACCTTTCTATAGGCCTGTGTATAACGAAATTTTCAAAGTACAATTATATCAACCCAGTCAAAATACTGTATAAAGAGACGTGTCATATTGTACATATACCGAGTGGAAACTCCGTTCAGAGTAATAATATCTATTGTTTCGTTGCAATTAGAGTCATTTCCTAATGCTTGTAGTTTAAAGGTTTGGTTGGCTTGCTTGCTTTGTTTGTATAAATGTTTGCTAAAGAATTGTAATTAAGATTGACATCTGCAATCAATAGATAGGCGGGGCTTCAGCTTGTATACATTATACTTAAATGTTATTAGATGTTAAGAATAATGCAGAGTATAATGTATACAAGTTGAAGTCCCGCCCATCTATTGATTGCAGATGTCAATCTTAATTACAATGCTTGAGCAAACATTTATAAAAACAAAGCAAGCAAGCCAACCAAACCTTTAAACTACAAGCATTAGGAAAATAGCTCTAACAGAAAATTGGGATTGTGTGGCAGATCAAGCCAAAATTTATTACCCATACTTACGACATATGACATTGAAACAAACCAATTAACCACTATGCCATATGGCACAAAATTTAAGGGAGGCATTCAGAAAAAAGCAGATGCAAATTAATCAGATGTGGCCACAAAGTTTTTGATCCCCGTCATTGTTTAAAATAGTACATTGAGTAATACTCGCGATCGGGGTGATTATTCAAGCATATTCCTCCAGATGCGTAGACGTCAACGTATCTGATACTTTGGATACGTTTTAAATAGACTGACCTCTAATAATTAGAAACGTCATAGTAGATATGGTAGCATCACATTCTTTTCAGGAACTTCAAAATCCAGGCTTTCTCAAACTTGGAATTAAGCTTCATGTGAGCTTCCTATACAGTGTTATTTGTTTTCACATACATTGCTAAAAAAATTCCTTTTACCGAATACTTATAGCGGCGGCCGGGTATCATTTAAAATTCAACTTGTTGAAAACTCTCTGCAATTATCCTACAACAGAGGCAAGGCAAGGTACATTTGGTACTGATTTTGAAAACCAGTGAAGATGAGATAACGGGAGTGAACATTCTACAACAATGCAATCTTTTCTTTGGTTTGGAGGGCTTTCATAATAATCATGATTTCGTATTAGAAAAACATCACTAGCATTTTTTCTACACAAATCAATGCATTTATATTTATTTCTTCTTTTGAGCAAGTATATCTAATATAATAGTGTATGTCTTCCAGACTAACAGCAGCGGACGAACATAATTGGTATGATTTTATAGAAACATTGTATAACTCAAAAAGAACATCAACGGGTATAGATTGGAATAAATACAATGCTACAAATCTGACGTTTAGTGAATTGTATTTAAAAACAGGTCACACAAAGGAAGATATGATACACAGGTATAATGCTATGTAATGAAAATGCAAATTCCATAAATTCAAATAAGATTACTATTTTTATCCGTTCTCGTCTCAAGTGTTGGAGGTCGTGAGTTCGATTCCAACTGGGTGAATCCAAAGACTTTAATATTGTTATTTGCTGCGTCTCCGCTAAGTAAGCAGCGTTAATGAGAAGTTATACAAAAGACTGTTCAGCTCGGGATTAGAAAAATGTATCAGGTAGCTAGACATGTATTCCTGCGGACTGTTAATTGTAAAAAAGCATGTTCGGACTTAACGTGTCAGTCTTGTACAAAAGAGCATTCATATTCATATCACATTAACATGTTATCGTCCATAAATGCATGTACCATTTGCCACTGGATGTTAAACACCAATTCATTCGCGTCATCATGCATCATATAAACATTTGGTCCAATTAACTTATTCGCTTTTTGATATGGCTTTGTTAGTTTGTTTTTCGACTTGTGATTTTTTCGACTTGTGATTTTGTATGTCCCTGTGGTATTTTTTGCTTCTCTACAAATGAAGCAGTTTTTTTGTGTCTACCATTTAAAATTTTTAAAAAACTTAGTTTTTAGCAAGATCGTAGTTTGTGACATTTAAAGCATTTTTAAAATTAAAATTTTATGCTTTGTGATGTCTAATAAACCATTATATCCAGTATATATGTATTTGTTGTCATTTGATGAAAAAAAACGAACTTGTGGAAACATTGTACATCCCGCCATTATGTTATTTTGCTATGGTCATTTTTTGTATTCTTGCCTTTCATTTTTGCTTATGTGCTTTGTCTATATGCCATTTTGTTTTTCTTTGTTGACATCTTTGTTTGTTTTTTATAGTGATTACGATTATAACACAATGTTAACTGTTGTACACCTATTTTTGACATTTTTACCTATTGTGTCTGTTTACACATTGTTGTCAATATAATGGACATGAATACAAGTGAGAGGTTTAGCTTTAACTTTAAAACCAGGTTTAATCCACCATTTTCTACATAAGGAAATGCCTGTACCAAGTCATGAGTTCAGTATTTTTGTTATTTTACTTTTTCATCTAGTATCCACTGTAACTGTCTTTTTGACATTGTTACCGGTTTCATCATGTTTTGGGTTAGACATGTACTTGTACATCCGTCTATTTTTGTTTGCTTGACACTTATTCTAAAACAGAATTAAAAAAGTCAAGAAAGCTGATATTTCTTGGACATTTAATTATTATGAAAATAAGGAGATTCGTCATAATTGCCACTGAGAAAACTTTCTATAAAAGACCAAAGGACAAGGATGTTAAATAGGACATAGTACGTACTGCCTTCAACAAGTGAGCAACACCTATATCATACAGTAATCTATAATAGGTCCCATCATAACAAAATGCGATACAATTTAAACGTGAAAGTCAACGGCTTGATATATTCTTCAATAATATACGAAAACAAATGTAACAGATACATGTAGCAACCAACGACAACCACCGAATCACCGGCTCTGGCTTGGAATGGGCATATAAAGAAGTAAAGAGTGTGGCGGAGTTAAACTTGTTTGTGAGTGGTACTTCAAAGCCAAAAGCAAATTGTAAATACATCATGTTTTTCCTAGACTAAAACAGCATATAGTGTCAACAATTAGAGCAAAAGACATTATTGTAATATTTCTTTGTGTAACTGTTTTTGATAAATTCATTGTATTTATTTTATGAATAACTTAATCACTACAACTATTATGTATAAATGGACTCTCGTGTAAAACTGTAAAATTATTAATAAATGCAATCTTACTTATAGTTGCAGTTTTGCTGGTAAAAAATGTGGCGCTAAAGATTTTAAAACTATATTAACAGATCAAGGACTTTGTTTTACCTTTAAGCCAGACATAGACTCTAAATTAAGACACCGTCATGAATTGCGATCATGGCACACAGGTATGTTTGTACACCACTGCTGTGACATAAGCCTATTTACTGAACATTCATTTTTTTTTTTAAATCAGTGTTTTTTATCCTTAAATATATTCACTTGTTTAGATAATTCAGTTAACAGATGATATTATGGATTTAATGCTATACTTAAGACTGAAAAGTTATTAGAGAACTCTACTAGACATTGATGTAAATTTGAAATTACTCAAAAATAGTCAAATTTTTCTGATAAAACACATGGTTTTATTGTATTTTTTTTATCATACCTATGCACCACACGTTTTATATGATATTCAAGATAATTCTTACAGGATCAGATAACGGCTTGAAATTAGTTTTGAATACAGAGCAATATGAACATATGGACGGTCCAAATATCGCTTCTGGCATTAAAGTGCTGGCCCATCATGACACCGACATACCAAGAGTGAAGGAACTTGGGATTTCTGTTCCAACATATTCGTATGCTATGATAGGAGTAGATCTGACAGTCGTAAGTTCACGATAATCCACCCACTTAATACAAACAGCATTCAATACTGGTATAAACAGGAAGTTTAATTCAATAACGATAATATACAACATTTGTAATTCCTCGAAATTAAACATCATGTTATTTAGGAACAATAACTGTCAGACCTCTAAGACTTTGCTACCCTTTAAACGAGTCCGATAAAAAAACTTGTTCTTATTTAGTAGCAGTTAAACATCTTTATCATTATTGCAAATATTTTAAACAACCATAAGTATTTCGAATGCCTCCACTCAAAATAATTCAGAGAAATCTTTAGTAATAGTACAGTTGTAATATGAATATCAATGACCTTATCTATTAACCAACATTTTGACTGATTATTTCATTTACATTGCTCATTGCTTATGTAAATATTATACTTAATGACATACTTGTAGACTTATTAATTACAAGCTTGATCCCAGGTAAATATCACTGGCATGCATGCAAGATAATAATTATGATATTCTTGTGTCTTTTGATAAAATATATTGATAACCAGAAGAAAAACAGCAATGAAGATATAAATAAATAACGAAAAAGAAGAAAAACATGTATGTAACAAACGGTATATGACAAGGCCACATTACCTTTAGCCCAAGTTAGCTGACAAAAAATCAATTTATAACTAATTACATGAAGGAAAGACAATAAATCAATAATTCTGTGTCATTTGTATTATTACAGAGAATCTGTCTTGACTGGTTAATTTAAAAATAATTATACTTTTTTTTATTGCAGATCAAGAGTTTAAGAAAACCTTTTGGGAATTGCAAGGATAAACCTCTCAATTACAGCAGAGAGTATACAAAGGATGACTGTTTATTTGAATGTTTAAGTAGAGTTGCTGAACAAAACTGTAGTTGTAAAAATTACCTGATACCAAAAGGTAAGCCAAGTACTTGTGCATTGCAATTCTGAATTTGGGGATAAACAATTTGGGGCTTTCAGTTTAGGTCATGACTGGCAAATATGACCGTTTCTTGACCCTTGGGCTCGTGTCAACAAATCATACTCAATAAAATACTTTCTATTTCATTTTGTGAATTTTGTGAAAAAGTAAAAAACCTAATAATATTTTTTTTCTCTTCATGTGAAGAGGAACCAATCTTGACATTTTCACTCGTTATTGACAATGAAAATACAGATCAAAGAATTTGAAAATTTTGATAAAATATATCTGACAATTTGATTAAAATATGGTCGCTGTGTCTATGCCTATATATAAGAGAAGCGTTGACACGGTCTGTATTTTAATCAAATTGGCTATCTGACACAGACATATAATTTTTTACGATCATGAAGAGAGATAAATTTATATGTATATATAAAAAAGTACAACAAAAATACTGAACTTCAAGGCAAATTCAAAAAGGGGAAGTCCATAAAAGCTGACAAAATCAAACGCAATCAATAAATGCAAGTGAAAAAAACAACTGCCATAATCCTGGCTTGGTTGAGGCCTGCATGTTTCGAAGACAATTGTGGATTAAACCTGGTTTTATAGCTAGCTAAACTTCCCACTTGTATGACAGTTTTTTTTAGTTCCGTTATATTGACAAAATTGGGTAAGCAACCCATACAGACATAGGTTAATGTGACAACAATTCGGATCAGCAGTCAAAACTGTGTAAACATACATCACAGACATACAACACAACTGACTAAAACATTCAAACAAACATACTAATCTAACAGAGACTTCAACAAAAAAGGTGAACTTCAACAAAAAAGGTGAAGTCAATTATTATCAATTTTGAATTTTTGTAACAGATAGGCCCGGGTCAGAAAATGGACAATCCTATTCCTTTTGTACTTCAACTATATTGTCGTTTGTGTTGCTGACCATATAAACTTCTTCATTACATATGCTGTTTAACTAGCAGAAAAATTAAAATAATAATAAATAATGTTAAAAAAATCAACAACACAGGAACAAATTTACTAGAAATCATAATAGGTCAACATGGCACATAAGCATGTTCATGTATGGTCTTATTTCTGGTTGTCATGGACACAGCTTATTACTTTGTGTATTGTAACTAGGAATGATGGCCTGTTGAACACAAAGACGGTCGATTTTATTTTTATTCTCACATCTCTTAGTAACATAGTCAACATAAAGATAAATCTGGATCCTAAATAAAAATAACAAGATTATTCAGGAAACCTTAAGCTTCACAAGCATTTTCACTATCAATAGAAAAATCTACTATTAGCCATCTTAAAGTATATATCTTTAATACTTTAACTAGATGAGCCCCAACTCTGAAACTACAAAATGGCATATAAAAAAAAAGCATGTCGTAAAAAACCCGAACATCAACAACAAAAACTTATCTATACATATATATACAATTAAAATGAGGGTCTTATTAATCTAAGCCACAACTCACTGAAAAAACAAACAGCATAAAAACCCCATCTAGCAAGAAGAAACCAAGAAAACACAAAAAAATAACCCTCACCTAAAAAAACAAACAAAACAATGAACTGACAAGACAAACAAAAAACACACAATGAAAAACAAAACAAGAATATTTGTCCATAGAAAACCAAGTTCCTTTGGCACAATCACATTGTAAAAACTCATCAAAGATACTAGGCTTATAATCTAGATCTTGTAAACTGTAAAATCGGGTTCATACTGTAATATAAGGCATACAATTCAAAATGTTCACACCAGGAAGAACACTTGTACTAAGTTTTCAAGTCAATGCGACTACAACTTTATTATAAACTACCTCAACCAAAGAATTTAAACTGAAATGTAATGGTTTCACACTATCTCACTGCCATGTTCAGTGAAACATTTAATTGGGTTCAAACCTTAAGGGCATACGATACAGTAGCAAGGGCAGATAATAACGTTTTCAAAACTTTTCGTGTTGTGTTCGCGATGTTGTTAATCAGAACGTTGTAATTTCGCGATGTTTCTTAAAAGAATTTTGTGACGTCGCTTTAGATGTAGTCACATTTGCGGAAAAATCCACTGACGTCATAATCCGATTGCGTGAATTTGAAAAAGGCACCTGCTAAAAAAATTGACCATATCACGAAAATTGTAATATCTATTCATTAGTAATGAAGTCAACAATTATTACTTGAAATGTGAAAAAAAATCAAATCCACAGTCATAGTTTTGTATGTGTTTTATTTCATATAGGAAATGAATAAAAGATATGTAAATAGAATAATACGTCAAGGAGACAGAAACCCAACTACACAAAAAGCCCAATAAATAATTCAACGTACTGTCTTGACCATAATATAGTATCTATATATACACCATTTGGCAAGCTCTAAATCGTATGACAATTGTACAGATAAATGAAACAGACTATCAACAAAATGTTAAAATAACATAAGAAATAAAGACAACGCCTCATACTGTTCCTGACTTTGAATAGGTACATTAAAAAGTTTAACGGCATTTTTAGAACTAACCCAGTGGAATATTTATATGTGTATGAAGAATAACTCTCAGTTAAGTAAACACAGTTATGAGCCCCATACGTATTACAGACCAAAACAAAGACGCACCCGTTCATGCGCTAAACTTATCCCCTATGTACATATTGAGAGAAAACAATCGAAGTATCGGCACACCGGAATTAGGTATCTGACAGACAAGAAAAGTGTTTACAAGTTGCAACTCACTGTCGTTAAGCTACTGACCAAATACGAAGTCTTACCGTAAGGTAGTTTATCAGATAAGAAACAAAAATTTGTTGGACCACCGGATGGAAGGACAAACAATGGTGTTGCACCCAACGCTAGATTGGAGGTATAATACAGACAAATATGTACCGTAATAAAAAAATACCCTGCCTGAATACAAGCTAAGGTAACCTATCTATTGATACAGAATCATGCAATGGTATGCTCTAAAATCGTCTGCTGTACTTCCTATGAAATATTATACTACACCGCAATGGACTATATATATATATTGAGATGAGACAAATACGAAATAAATGTGGCTTTTTTGTGTGTCGAAGGCCGTACGGTGACCTTTAATTGTGTTTATCTTCGTCATTTGAACTATGATTGATAAAGTTGTCTCATACCAAATGTCCTTATTTTTATATTATCCCATTTACTTTTTTTTTGTAATTTATAACTGTTTGTCATGTCGGGGCCTTTTGAATAATTATATGTATGCTCAAGCTGTGTTGTCTACATGAAATGTAGGACTAATTTCGGACAGAGATGCAAATTTTTTTTTTTATTAGATTTATTTTTTTTTTTGTTTCCGGTCATTTTTTTTTAAAAGTAATTTACTAAAATGCTTTTTCTATCCAAGTTTCGTAACAATTCATAAAGGTTTGGCGAATAGTTTATGCTACTTTACGAGTAACTATCTTTATAAATATTGATGATAAATATCATTGATTTTTTGAAAAAAAAAACCTTGGCTATACCACTGAACTTGACAACATAGTCGTGAACGATGGGAAAGATTTCACGACGTTGTTGCGATTAAAACTTATTTCAACGTAATTTAGCGCCTTATTGGCAAACGTCCCGTTTGCCATTAAAAATCATGGTTTATTGCTTTTATTGAGAAAACAAGCACATGGACCCCCATTTTTTTCTTTTGCAATCAATCAAGGACTGTTTCAGGGACGCTCCGCCAAAATTTTAAGAAAAAATCAAAGATCAAATTTTTTCTGCACTTCTGAATAGACGCAAAAATATTGTCAATTTCTTTATTTCACTAATAGTAATATAATTTAAAAAACAAAAATTAAGTTAAACCTTAAACTTGTTACAGCATTTTGATGCCGTGGTTCAAAGGAACATTTTACAAAAAACCCGGTTAAATTATGACTGTTCGTTCAAAAGTATTGTTACTTTCCTTAAAAGTCCTTATTTATGCAATTTCAGTGTTTTTCCTTCAAATATGCAAATTTCAAACCAAATTATCTCAAAAAGTAAGTCATGAAGGTACATTTTTCTTTGCACATTTCAAAAGTACACATTAAAATTGACCTTCTACCAAAATTTCGAAGAAAAAATCAACGAGGGATCTCTACTGTATCGTATGCCCTTAATTTGGCAAATAATTTAAAACTTTCGCATCAATAATGAACATTTTACCAAGTTTCAATTCAGTTGATATTATCACTATTTTATTGTAAACTACCTCAACCAAAACATTAACCTGTTATTGGACGAATGTACTAACGGATATGCATACCAGAGAACATAATACCCCAGTGCTGTCATAGGCGGGGCATAATAAAACAAAAATTATAAGCATATAATTTGTCTGTAACAATAAGTACTTCTTTAAGGTAGATAGGGTGTCTTCCTCCATCTTGGATTTTGAATACCTGAAAACAATGGTCTAGATCTTTAATAGAATGTGCAAATTTTGAGAGTAGTAGGTAATTCATGTGTAAGAATTTTCATTTCAATATAGAAAATGACATGTTTATTCATATTTATGGTTGTATTTTACAAAAAACAGAAAACTTTTGTTTGATTCAATTTTTTCCAACTTTGCCACATAAGGGGAGGCAACTCAAATGTAAGGGCAGATAATTCAGATGAAGGTACTTTTATTACAATAGAATGTGTTAGGAATTTACCTATTTTATTTTGTAGCAAGAAAACAGGTCCAGTGACCCCATTTTTTCTTTTTCTTATCTGAAAGCATACTATTAAAGCTATCTTCTCATATTTTATCTCAAAATTCTATGGTGTAGATTTCGTTTTATGGCAGAAAATTGGGTTTTCCATGCATAATCTATACAAAATCTGTTAATTTTGAACAACCTGTAGCGTGAAAATAAGCCCCGTGACCCATTCTTTTTATCATTTTTTATTAAAAAGCTTGATATAAACTACATTTTGACAAATTATTAAAAAATTCTATGGATTATAATTTAGACACCCCATCTACCTTAATACGAATTTAAATTTGATAAGACAATAAATTAGAGTAGCTTTCATCCTATTAACAAAATTAAGAGAGTAAGGTAATTTTGCAATTTCACTTGAAGTCTTTTAAACAGTTTTTTTTTTCAGATTTCTATAATTTACTAATTTTTCCTTTAGAAAAACCGAAAACACCACCCGAGTATGTCTTTAACAGCATGAAATCCTTCCAGTCGTCTGATAATTACAACTATACTGATGATGAAGATTATGAAGAAGATGAGGAACCAGATTTTGTACCGGCAGACTCCCCTGTGCATGCGTCTTCTGGAAAACATGTTCAAGGTAAATGGGTTAGCAAACAGATATGCATGTGAAAGTTCTTCATACTTTTATTCAATTACCTTTACTACTATCATATTTCTATGAAATATGCTTGGAAATTTTTGTTGTTGTGACTGCATTCACATTTATTTGAAAGTGGGATAGTCTGTTAACAGAAGCACATTATAGACCACAAGAATCACTCGGAATTAATTACCTATATACAAAGGATTTTTTGTTTTTTTGAATTGGAAATGTCTTCAAGGATGATTAAATAGGCATCAACAGACAACTTCTAGTGTGATTTTTTTTTTATATTCAACGTTGTTAAATATATTTCGTAGTTGTAAAGTGCATTCACCTTTTTATACGACCGCAAAAATAAAAAAATTTTTGGTCCTATATTGGTATGACGTTGGCGTTGTCATCGTCCGAAGACATATTGGTTTTCGCACTCTAACTTTAGTTTATGTGCATGGATCTCCATGAAATTTTACCATAAGGTTCAATACCACAAAAGGAAGGTTGGGATTGATTTTGGGGGTTATGGTACCAACAGTTAAGGAATTAGGGGCCAAAAAGGGGCCATAAATAAGCATTTTTGTAACTTCCAGACATAACTTGTGTGTTAGTGTATGGATCTCTCTGACATTGTACCACAAGGTTCCATATCACAACGGGAATGCTGGGATTGATTTTGGGGGTAATTGCCTCAAAATTTTAGGAATAAGGGGCCAAAAAATGGGCAAAAAACAAGCATTTTTCTAGTTTCTTGATAATAACTTGTGTGTAAGTGTATAGATCTTTATGAAATTAAACTACAAGGTTCCATATCACAAAGGGAAAGCTGGGTTTGAGTTTGGGGGTAATTGCCCAAAAGGTTTAGGAAAAAGGGGCCTAAAAACAAGCATTTTTCTAGTTTCCAGACAATAACTTGTGTTCAAGTGTATGGATCTCTCTGAAATTGTACTGCAAGGTACCATACCACAAAGGGAAGGCTGGGATTGATTTTGGGGGTAATTGCCTCAAAAGTTTAGGAATTAGGGGCCAAAAAGGGGCAAAATACAAGCATTTTTGTCGAGCCTGCGACTTTTGTTGCAGAAAGCTCGACATAGGGATAGTGATCCGGCGGCGTTGGCGTTAGCTAACTTCTTAAAAGCTTTATATTTTAGAAGGTAGAAGACCTAGATGCTTCATACTTTGTATATGGATGCCTCATGTTACGAAGTTTCCGTTAGTCACATGTCCAATGTCCTTGACCTCATTTTCATGGTTCAGTGACTACTTGAAAAAAAAGTTAACATTTTTTGTAATGTTAAATTCTCTCTTATTATAAGTAGTAGGATAACTATATTTGGTATGTGCATACCTTGCAAGGTCCTCATGCCCGTCAGACAGTTTTCACTTGACCTCGACCTCATTTCATGGATCAGTGAACAAGGTTAAGTTTTGGTGGTCAAGTCCATATCTCAGATACTATAAGCAATAGGTCTAGTATATTCGGTGTATGGAAGGACTGTAAGGTGTACATGTCCAACTGGCAGGTGTCATCTGACCTTGACCTCATTTTCATGGTTCAGTGGTTATAGTTAAGTTTTTGTGTTTTGGTCTGTTTTTCTTATACTGTATGCAATAGGTCTGCTATATTTGGTGTATGAAATGATTGTAAGGTGTACATGTCTAGCTGGCAGGTGTCATCTGACCTTGACCTCGTTTTCATGGTTCAGTGGTCAAAGTTAAGTTTTTGAGTTTTGGTCTTTTTTTCTAATACTATATTTGGTGTATGGAAATATTTTATGATCTATATGTCAGTCGCGCAGTTTTATATGAACTTGACCTCATTTACACGGTTCATTGCTCAGTGTTAAGTTTTTGTGTTTTGGTCTGTTTTTCTTAAACTATAAGCAATAGGTCAACTATATTTGTTATATGGAAGAATTGTTAACTGTACATGTCTGCCTGGCATGGTTCATCTGACCTTGACCTCATTTTCATGGTTCATTGGTCAGTGTTTAGTTTTCTTGGTTAGTGTTAAGTTTATGTGACAGTTGTAATAAAGCTTTATATTTAGGACTATCAACATAATATCAATGATTAGTAAAGAAGGCGAGACATTTCAGCGTGTGCACACTTGTTCTAATTTCAGGACAATAACTTGTGTGTAAGTGTATGGATCTTTATGAAATTGTACTTCAAGGTTCCATATCTCAAAAGGAAAGCTGGGTTTGAGTTTGGGGGTAATTGCCTTAAAAGTTTAGGAATTTGGGGCCAAAAAGGGTCCTAAAAACAAGCATTTTTCTAGTTTCCAGACAATAACTTGTGTTCAAGTGTATGGATCTCTCTGAAATTGTACTGCAAGGTACAATACCACAAAGGGAAGGCTGGGATTGATTTTGGGGGTAATTGCCTCAAAAGTTAAGGAATTAGGGGCCAAAAAACAAGCATTTTTCTAGTTTCAGGACAATAACTTGTGTGTTAGCAGTGTTCTCCCCAGGCCCTTAAAGGACCGCGGGCTCGCGATGTATAATTTTTTACAGTGGTGGTATTGTTCTTACCGGGATGTATTATTTTTCTCCGTGGTGCTAAAATTTTCAGTTAAAAAATTGTAAATCGGTAAAGTTTTAAACGACTTGTTAAATCTTTTCCGTGCGGTATACAATTCCAGGTGAAATTTGACCAGTTCAAACCAGTTCAACACAGATTGTTTACATCACGTGATCAATTTACCTTATGAGGTTAACCTTGTTGATTGGATTTAATCGATGTTATTAACACTTGTTACATGATTCTTTTGTGTTTTAATTAAGAGTTCATAACTTTATGATCACAGATAACTATTTTATGGCTTCACTCACCACCCAAGCACTGACCTGTGACAAGTCGGCAAATACTTTGTACACAAACAGTGTCTTGACCCGATAGGTACATTTTTTGTACATCATAAAGGTGGCTCATTACGTATAATTGACAATTATACATTTCTCAATTCTTTTATTATAGTATTATATGTCTCTGATTAAACCATGGCCAATATTATCTTTAATTATGGCATAGTTATTGCATGATAGTCGGGTTTCAAACTGTAGTATCTGTCTGTACATATCACATGACCCAGTTTATAGTTCACGTAGAATATTCAAGTTTATTTACAATTAATTGCAATCTATTCTATTTTATAAATAAAATGCATGACTGTACCTTCAAACTGGATATCTATATCCATAATTAATGAATAACAGAAGCAATCTTGCAAATTTTATCCATAAGCACATGTTAAATCTATTTATATCTACTTCCTGTCATTTAGGCGGAAAAATAGGGAGACTTAGTTGTTGACATTGAATATGGTTACTTATAGATCTATAGACCAAAGATAAATTTATAGATTTAGAATTTTTTTTTTTAAATGGTTCATGACAAATAAAGATTTAGATTTCAGTGCAGTATTAAGTCTGTATCTATGTTTGATTATCACCAAAGACAAGAAAGGTTAATATTTACATGAAATCTATGGCAAAATGTTCTAAATTTATGAAAAATTTCTTTTTATTAAAATCTAAGATAGAAACTGGTTCAAATAATAAAACAATATTTGCAAATGTTCTTATTAATTTTATATCTTCTTATGACAGGAATCCTTTCACATACAACAACTTTCTTTCTAGAAACTAGAAAGTTTTTTTAAATTAAACATTTTTGTTCTCTTTTGAATGATATTTTATTTTTATTGATTTTGGATTTTATAAAAGATTTAATTACTTTAAATTCAGATGAATATTTTATTATGAATCATAATTTATTTATTTTAAAAAAATATTAAAGTAAACAAACTGTTATTTGATTTACTTCTTTTTTACCAATAATTTTCTGACTCAATGTCTACATAACACAATGCCACAGTATTAAAACAAAACAAGAGACATAAAAACTACAGTAACTAGAAATAGAGCTAAGCGACGCGACCCGACACGACGCGACACAACTGATTGTATGAAATATTTCACCAAGCTGTCCACACGCGTTACCCTGGTGCTATCCAAAAATCCTGGGGAGAACACTGGTAAGTGTATGGATCTTTATGAAATTGTACTACAAGGTTCAATATCTTAAAAGGAATGCTGGGTTTGCGTTTGGGGGTAATTGCCTTAAAAGTTTAGGAATTTGGGGCCAAAAAGGGTCCTAAAAACAAGCATGTTTCTAGTTTCCAGACAATAACTTGTGTTCAAGTGTATGGATCTCTCTGAAATTGTACTGCAAGGTACCATACCACAAAGGGAAGGCTGGGATTGAGTTTGGGGGTGATGAATCATAAGTGGGTTCAAAAAATTTAGGGGAGGTATTTTTTTTTTCTTTAAAATTTTCCATTTTAAATTGGTTATTTCTGATTTATATATAAAAGCAAACAATAATGATATGGGTTGAATAGGTAAATTAAAAATTTTTAAGTTCTTAGACCACATTCATTCTGTGTCAGAAACCTATGCTGTGTCAAATATTTAATTACAATCCAAATTCAGTACTGTATCAAGCTTGAATGTTGTGTCCATACTTGCCCCAACTGTTCAGGGTTCGACCTCTGCGTCGTATCAAGCTGCGCCCAGCGGAGCATTTTATTTTTGCATGGTTTTACTGCATTAGGTTTGACCCAGTTTTTGTATTTTTGTTTTGTTTGTAGTGCTATTCAAAAAGAGATAGAAGATACAAAGAGGAATCAAAATCCATAAGAAGAATAAAAACAGACAACCCTGAGGGGGGGGGGGGGGGGGGGGGGGTTGTAGGGGTCCTGATCCCGAAATCCTGGGCATAAAAACATGAAATCCTGAGGTCCCGAATTTAAAAAAATTTAAATCCCGGCATACCGAAATTCGAAAAAAGAATTCCCGGATCCCGAAAGGATCAATCCCGAAATCCCGAGCTTAAAAACAACCGATCCCGGAGTCCCGATAAAGGTCCGACCCCCCTCAACTCTATGGCAAAAAATAAAAAGAAAAAAAGTCAAACAAACAGTCCACAAATTACGACGAAGAAAATAAAAGATTGAGCAACATGAACCCCACAAAAAAGAGGGGATGTGAACTCATGTGCTCCGAAAGTGAGATCAGTTCCTGCTCCACTAGTAATATCCATCGTGTTACAACAAGGGATAGAGGACGAGACTGTAGCTACAACAAGTTTAACATATCGGTACTCATTTTTAGCACAGATAATCAATAAAGGTCAACCAAATCATAATGGCATCCGTTAAAGCTAAAGTTAAAGTATCAGACTTATTGAAACCGATGTTATTTCATAAAGTTGCCTGGCAATATAATAAAAAAACACTGGTTTTCTGATATTGTGAAGCTTTTTCTAACGCTGTCAGCTATATGACGACCAAAAATAAACTTCCGCGCTTTTGGTACAAAGTCATTCCACTACACAAGGAACCTTCATGGTGATATGATTGAAGTGAAAATCAAATAAACTATTTAATATAATTCAACACTTTTCCTAAGAGTACAAGAACATATACTTGTAGATAAAAACTCGGAGTGTATAAACATTTCCTTACAATCCTATGTAAAACTTTGGAGATGTGGTATGATTACCATAGAGACAACTATCCACCAAAGTCCAATATATATATATATATATGTCTTCTTTTTGTCGAGCCTTCGACTTTAGTCGAAAAAGCGAGACATAGCGATCCTACATTCCGTCGGCGTCGTCGTCGTCGTCGTCGTCGTCGTTGTCGTCGGCGGCGTCCACAAATATTCACTCTGTGGTTAAAGTTTTTGAAATTTTAATAACTTTCTTAAACTATTCTGGATTTCTACCAAACTTGGACAGAAGCTTGTTTATGATCATAAGATAGTATCCAGAAGTAAATTTTGTAAAAATAAAATTCCATTTTTTCCGTATTTTACTTATAAATGGACTTAGTTTTTCTGCTGGGAAATATTACATTCACTCTGTGGTTAAAGTTTTTAAAATTTTAATAACTTTCTTAAACTATCCTGGGAATGTACCAAACTTGGACAGAAGCTTGTTTATGATCAAAAGCTAGTATCTAGAAGGAAATTTTGTAAAAAAATAAATCCATTTTTTCCATATTTTACTTTTAAATGGACTTAGATTTTCTGCCAGGAAACAACATATTCACTCTGTGGTTAAAGTTTTTAAAATTTTAATAACTTTCTTATACTATTTTGGATTTGTACCAAACTTGGACAGAAGCTTGTTTATGATCAAATGCTAGTATCTAGAAGGAAATTTTGTTTTCTTCCAGTTAACTTTACATTCAGTCTGCAGTTAAAGTTTTTAAACATTTATTAGATTCATAAACTATCCTGGATTTTTACCAAACTTGGACAGAAGCTTCTTTCAATCAAAAGATAGTATCAAGAGGAATATTTTTATTGATTGACTTCCTCATTTTTGTTGAGCCTGCGATTAACAGAAAAAGTAGGCGAGACACTGGGTTCCGCGGAACCCTTACGAATTTTTTTATTTTCATGACATAAAAACCATGAAATGTCCAATTAAGTTACATTATAGATATATTTATTTGTTTATATGCACAGAACAGTTTGTGTTATTTACCAAAGGAAAGTAACTGGAAGGGTTGAGTCCATTTGATTCCTTGGAAATTTTCAGCTTTTGATTGATCTAAACAAAAAGATTATTCCTTAGAAAATTTTATACTTAGATAAAATTAATCTTGGTCAGAATTTTTTACCTAAAATAATGCATCACATGTATAAGTATCTATGACTTTCACTATATTTTGAATAAGAAAATAGAAATGTTGAAAAGCATAGCTTACCTTTGTATTAAATGTACAGGAAGTATTAAGTTGTTTTTTTAATTATAATAAACACAACTTTAGGTAATTTATGTGTGTGTGTGTGTGTGTGTGTTATGCTTTAGTTCTAACATATTGAAATATTTCAGATATAATCGAGACATGTTCTATTGAAAAGTACTTACAATGTTATCAGAAAAAATACGGTAAGTTGTTGAACACATGGAACACTGGTTTTTGAAAAAATCCTTTCGTGATACTAGTTTATATACACAGAACAGTTTGTGTAATCTACTACATATCCAGCATTGTACAAATAAATTTCACAAAATATATCAACATAGATATAACAAACAATCTAATATGAGTAGTTTATAATGAAATTATGAATTGTAGTAAAATACAAATAGTAACATTCTGTATGACTTTCAGCTGTTCAGCATCTTCACCAATAAATCATTACAACTGATATGAATATGTTTGTCATTTTGCATTCATGAATCAAATGATATATGTTTTCAATAGCTAATAAACACAATCTATATAACTGGTTTGAAAGATTTCTTTACGAATGAACATTTTTTGGTTTAAAAACAATATTCTTGCATACTTTTTACTCCATCAGAAAAGTTTCCATATTTTGTTTTGTACAAAATTTTATCTTCGATACTCTTTAATCTTTAATTGTCCTGTTAATATCACCAATTAACAACAATTAAGCATAATCACTGTTTGCTGATCTTTTCACAGTCACGCATTTCAATTAATCATACTAAGATTATCAAAGACAAGACAAATACTGTATTAAAGTCTCACCACTTGTAACACATCAAATATACAGCATTATAAAACAAGTTAACAAGAGCCACTCTATAAAGAGTTATGAGAGACCAAGTTAGAACTTATATTAATCCAATATATACTTATTCAATAAACAGTTAATATGATATAATCAATTATGTTCTTATGATGCATGCTTTAACTGACAATTGTATACGCTAAAACATAAAAATAATGCAGCAGAAAAGGGGGGGAAGCTTTCCTGAAGTCTAAATAGTTTTCGTATGATATTTCCTTGTAATTTGTACTGGATTTTTCCTGTTTTTTTGGAAATACCATTGGCACTCATATGATCATTTGATCAAATACTGCAAAAAGCATGTTTCATATAAGAGACTTGATATAATATATTTGAACTGGCATGAAAGAAAGAAATTTCTGATTGAAATTTGCAGTTTTAAAATTTAGGAAATCGTTTGAATTAAGAAATATATCTCCCTCATGGAAAGATCTGATTCCTTTGTCTGGATTTTGTTGTAATTCAGATCTTTTTTGGTTTGATCAACCCTTCAATGTTTCTACATCAGGTTTTGGATATTTAAATATTTTGGGTCTGAGAATCACTAAAGAGGTATTAATTGTCGAAATTCACATCTGTTGTAGTAATATTGGTACTGTTGATATTATTAATACACATTCATAAATTAAATAATTATTTCAGTGTTTTGTTTTCCTATTTTTATAATTTTTATTTTGCAACTAAATTTTATCCTACTTTTCTGCAATACCATACAGTACATTTTAATAACATTAATCGAAGTTGATGATGATTCTCAATACTGTTAATAGACGTCTTGATACTTTAGAATTGCTCATTGAAGCAGAAAAATGTGCACATAAGTCGTGCAGCTGTTTTTAAAAAATTGTTTTAGGAATAATTTCCGAATTTCACAGACTTTGGACTAACAAGCAAAATTTTCAAACAACGGCTCCAATTTTGTGTCATCAATTTTTACAGTTTTTAACCAAGATTGTTACAACTTTATAGACAGATTGCGCGTGTATTGAAGTTGTGAACCTGATATTGTAGAATTGTCTGAAGAGTTTGTTCTATTTTTTTCCAGACTTTGGATTTTTTTTCATCACTTTTTTAAGGTCGGTTCCAATATTGTGTAATAAAGTCCTATATTTTCAACCAATATCCTTAAAACTTGATAGAAACGTTTTACACAAAATAAAGTTGTGCACCTGCAATTACAAAATTGTTTGTGAAATTTATTCCCATGACTCTAGTGGCATGTTAATTTGAGATCATCAAACATTATCAATTTTTCGTATACATTGTATAAAAAATCAGAACTTTTAAATAAAATAATAAAAAATGCAAAAATAAAGCTGAAAATAAATTGAAATATCAGCATGGACTTAATAAATGTCCTTTGTGTCTTAAGATAATAAGTGTGTTTATTAGATTCACTTTGCTTGTAGATTTGGCATTTCTTGAATACCATTCCCATTGCAACTGCCCAGCACCTTGTTCCTCCAGGATATATAAACCGTTGATGTCTTATGCCTCAACTGTGGAGAAAGATGATGATCAAAATAAACAAACGATTGTTTATTCTAGTGGCACCGAATTACATGGAGATCTCACTTTACAAGCCAAAGTGCAAAAGGCAGTTGAAACAAAACACAGAAAGAATGCAGTCAGACGAAAAATATTCAATCAAATACGAAGCAACTTTATGCAGGAATATATAAACTATAAAAAGTTGTTTGGCTATGGCATACTTATGTATAACTGGAATACAAAATTCTCAAACATGTTAGAGTATGATCGGAAAAGTATAGAAAAGATGAAAGAATTGTATCTATTTCAGATATACAATCTAGAATATAATTTTATTTTGGCTCGTAAAGTAATGGAAGAAGAAACGATATCAACTGTGTGTCAAGGATACAATGAAATCAGATCAATTGTGGAGAAAACCTTAACGTCCTTTTCGGGGAATAAGGGTGAAAACCAAGCAAATATTTTATTTTACACAACAAAACTGTTTATTCAAAGCAAATTGGAAAATGTTGACAATGCTGTTGATAATATAACAACACTTTACAATTCTTATAAGTACGGAAATCCTATTTTTCATCACTCGTATAAAAATTTTAGCGAGAACTATAATTATTTCATTGTCCCAAAGAAGTTACTAAAAGAATCTCTGGGCCACTATTATGAATATGCAAACAAATATCCGACACCAGTAACAGGTGATATTGAAAGTATACATCTCAGCTTAAATGAATATTTGACGATGCTAAACAGTGTTATGGAGTATGGAAATCTCAATGAAACGTTAATGTCTGTAGTTAGCAAAAATTACAAAGACAACTGTAGAGCTTTCTTGTACAATAAACGTGTTTTCCAAAGGGAATGTGTTGATAGACCACTTGAAATATTAAAAACACGTTATAATAATTTCACATCTTTGACAGATAAGTATTTAAAATCTATGGACTTTGTTTTGAACAAATATTACCAATTTAATTCAAAACTTGTAGAGAAGCCTCATTTAAAAGAGTTTTTACTGTTATTACAAGACTACTTGGTCAAACCGGATATAACAAAAGATGATTTGTACAGAAAATCGCGCTTAACCAAATTAAGCATTGCGAGAATTGTATTAGATTTTGATGGATTGAGAAGAATACAAAGTACTGTATATGATAAATTGTTCGAAAGTAAAAATGCAATAGCCGATATCTGGAGAGTGATCAAATACGATGAAAATATCAAGCCGTTTTATGATTCAATGAATAAATCAGAATTTTTTAATTCTCATTTCACTTATTTTAAAAAAGGGTATAAAAATGGAGGATATAGTAACATTGAAAGTTTAGCTCGATGGTGGGGGAGACCAAGTGATGTCGTGTATAGCATTTCAAATTTAGAAAAACGCTTTGACGAGTTATATGAAGACTTGAATTTATTCAAGAAGCAAACGAGAATTGATGATAACTTCAACAAGTGAGTTTGACAATATGATTTCTCAAATGGTTTAAATACTTAGTGACAAAAAATAAACCAAAAAACAAAAAGCGAAATCTTATTAATTAATCTTTTACTTAAAAAAATGTTAATCTTGACTGATATCTTCATAATTCAAATAAAGTTCATTTATTAAGACAAGTTATTAGTTGTCACTGTTTTTTTTTTTTGAAAATTCTTATTTAAGAATTGAATACCTCTTTTTATAATTTTATTTAGGTGTAAAAGTGTTGTCCGAAGCACGTTATGTATGAAGCACAGTGCTTCCTATTAAGAATGTGCACACAGTCAACGCTTTCACAACCCTATGAAATTATACAAAAAGGGAGTACTGTAAATTCAGAAATTATTGCGATGATTTAATTATTGCCATGATTTTATTATTGCGAAAAATGCGACAGGGTTATAAACGCAATAATTTAAACTCGCATTTTGAAATTTTGAATATGAATTAAACAGGATTTTTCTCAAAATCGCAAAAATTAAAATCGTATTTTAATCTAAAATGACAAAATCGCAATAATAAATGCACGCAATAATTTCTGAATTTACAGTATTCAATTCTTATAATTACATTTCTATGCTACAACCATGAAATTGAGAGTAATATATAGCTTTTCATTTGTTTTTCAATGCATTATTTTAACATTGTCACGTTATTAGCACGTGCAGTTATAGCTGTTGTATTTGATACGGAAATAAAATATGACATTGAAGTGCTTCACGGTTGTCGTTATCAAAATTAAGGATTCTAATGAAAAATACATGTAATGTGATTATAACCATATATGTAGCTCCAAAATGGAGCCTGGTCCCCTTAATAAATGGTTGCATTCTTCACCACTGAAAGATTTATGTGTGCAATATAGCTATTGTCGAAGTTTTTATCCCACCAACGAAAAAGGATAGTTGTATGACCCAAATAGATTTAGTGTCGCAGATTCCTAAATAATGATAAGGTCTATAGAAATTCATATTGCATGATTATTTTGATTGTATAAAACAACAAGAATTCATGTCAGTATTTTTATTTTGTAGGACAAATTTTTTGCCAATAGATATTTTCTTCAGGGAACTGAGCTATATGGAAATAAAACAACAAGAAGCCTATGATGTATGGGCATTTTTTTGTAAGTATTCAAGTAGAGGTAATGAACGATGATGTATTTTCAAATATATCAAAAGAACTAATATATATATATATATATATGTAACGGGGTCTAAATACAGCACAAACAACATTTTCCAAAAGACCAAAAAAGTGAAAAAGTATATTTTAACAAAACGCAATTGACTAGCAGGTCGAACAACAGATAATCTTTAACCCTGCTGACTGCCATGGCGATTGCCAAATAAACGGATCACCAGATGTAACAAAATGGATCTTAATTATTAATTTAATAGCAAACAGAAAACAATAAACTTGCGGAAAAGATGGAATACCGCAAACATAAGGTGCAAAAAATGGTACACTATATCCGGATTTCAACAATTAATGTCTCTTCAGTGATGTTAGGAATCGAAACGGTATTTGGAAGGCCATATAATTTACCTCAATTTAGGATTGACTCTTGAATTTTGAAGAGTCAAAATAGTATGAAAGGATTATATAAACCCGAAGGCAAATATAATACAAGCCCAAACGAAAAAATATAAACAAGTCTAAATTGAAAACAACGTTCAAACCTATGATTGCGTTGGATAAAAACCACAATTTTTATATGTGTGCATTCAAAACAAATTTCTTGGTAGAGGGGTCTAAATACAGTACACATAACATTTTCCAAAAGACCAAAAGAGTGAAAAAGTATATTTTAACAAAACGCATTTGACTAGCAGGTCGAACAACAGATGTTCTAAAACCCTGCTGACTGCCATGGCGATTGCCAAATAAACGGATCATCAGATGTAACAAAATGGATCTTAATTATTAATTTAATACCAAACAAAAAACAATAAACTTGCGGAAAAGATGGTATACCGCAAACATAACGTGCAAAAATATACTGGTGGTATTATATCGGAAAATCTCGTAAAACGACTGTAATAGGAAATATTATGTAATTTACTGTTATATTCTAAACTTGATACAATTACTAATGTAAAAGGAAGTGCAAGTTGAACCAGGTTTAAATAGTAAAGACCGAATGTCCCAATTATTTGGCACTAAATTTCAGTTCCAATTAAAAATGAATGTTGACGTCCTAAATCGGAGGAGACTATTTTAACACATCCTGTCTATCTTGACAGGCGTTTCCCAGCAGGAGGTAGAATCCTTCAAAGAGTTAAAACATGGCAAAAACTTATTTGACTACAACACCTTTTTGTTAATATTGCATGACGTTTTGAACATTAATTGAAAAAACCTTATTGAAATACAGACATTCTATCAACGTTTTATTGGTTGGAAAACTAGTGCTGATTTCAAAAATAAACTCTTCACTGTTCTTGTCAGGTGTCATGGAATTTTACAAAAGTTTGGACAGAAACTTTTTAAAGATCAAACAGTTTTCATGATTATGTTTTCATTTTTCCGTATTTTTTTTATAAGATTACTCAGCTTTCTTGCAGTAAACATGTAGATACAGTCTGGTGTTCAAGTTTGTATAATTTTTATGAAACTTATAGGTAGAAACTTTTTCTATGATTAATATGGCCAGAGACATATATGGCTAAATACTATATCTGAAGCAAAATTTTTAAAATATATTTTTTTGATTTTTCTGTAATTTACTGATGGATAGATTAAGTATTTTTAAAGTTAACATTAACAGACAGTCTGGGATTATTATTTTTCACTTTGTAAACCTTCATAGATTGTTATGAAAATAGGACCGAAGCTAATCTCTACAATCAGAAAACCCATCATCAACATAACACTTTTACACTGACAGCAACGCAATCACAGGCGAGACACAGGGTTCTGCGGGGTTAATGATTAGTTTCCTACTTCAATAACTTGGTCTAACCTGCATGGAATTTTACAAATTTTTACAGCTTCTTCATAATAAATATAACCTCCTTTGTAATCTTGTGGTAGCGTGTTCGCCTCGAGTGCGGGAGGTCGTGGGTTTGAACTCCGGCCAGATCAAACAAAAGACTTTAAAGTTGGTATTTGCTGCTTCTCCGCTAAGCACGCAGCATTATGGAGTAAGAGCATAGACTGTTCGGCTCGGAGTCTGAATAATATGCCTGGTTAGGTGACAAGTCTTCCTGCGGACTGTTACCTTGTAAACTAGCAAGTTAAAAATCCAGGATTAATATTCATATAAAGTTAACATGTTCTCGTCCTGGATATGCATACTTATTTGCAGCTGGATGTTAAGCAGCCACCCATCATCATCATTATCATAATAAATATTCATAACAAAATTGTGATTATTATTCCCGTTTTTTACTGAAAAATGGAGTTAACAAATAACTTGGAAACTACCCTGAGTTAATGTTTTCAACACATCAATAACATTACTTAACCTTCGTTATTAGAAATATAGAAATATATGAGACTTTGACAGAAGCTTTATTGATTATGAGATAATATCTGAAGCAAAATATTGAAAATATTTCTTTCATTTTTTAGTATTTAAACTGATAGATAGACATAATTTTTCGCACTTAACGTTTAATTGCAATTTGTGTTTTTGACATCAATGACTTTACTAAACCTTCATGGTATGTTACATTTCTTAGACAGAATATGACTTATGATCAAGAAAAAGCACTAGCATTTGAAGAACAAACGAAAAAAGAAGATTTTTCTATATTTCCATATTGTACTGATTAATGAACTTAGGTCTCGGCAGTCAATATTACAATCTTACACCGAAAGCAGCAATCACATACGCGACAAAGGTTCAAAAATGTTTCCACTAAATTTCACAATATGCTTTGGTTTTTTTATACCAAATAAGACCAATCATATTATAACTATTACGTCCCACGTGAAATGTGCTTGTTTTGTTGCCAGAAAGTCTATGCTACAAATCATTTTTTAAGTTTTTATACATCAGGATTTTTTTAAAACTCCTCTCATTCAGACTATTTTTTTCTTGGGATCTTTTAGTTAAACATTTTTTGCTACAATTCCAAAGCAGCAGATAAGCGAGGTGGCTGGTCCAGTCTCTTTTAGTTAGTCTACATCTTGTTTCTCACAAATTGAAAGACACACTAGGAGATTCTATGTCTCTTTCTTAATATTTTAATTTATTGTTATATATTTCTATCAATATATTACATTTGCAGGTGATGTTGGAGGAGCACTTGGTTTATTTGTTGGTGCAAGTGCAGTGACGCTTTTTGAGTTTATGGACTGTTTGGTACACGTGGTGTTAACTTTATGTAAAAAATAACTTGTGCTTAAAACGTTATTTGAATTTCAATAAACAAACATATTTTATTTACCTCTTTATTGGACCAGCACGTACATGCCCTAGTAAATGGGAAAAGAAAGCAAGACTTTATTATGTTCAAATTGTCAGTAAGTTTCAAGTAGATAATTTCTTATTTAATATATTTTGATTGAAGATCGGTCAAATTTATGCTCAATTTTATAAGAAAAAAATGAAAACAACACTTTATAAATTTCATGTACGAAGTGCTTTTCTGGATTTACCTTTATCAGGAATCTTCAAAGCCGAATATTTGATACCCAAGGATGTATAAGAACCGAAGACAGTCGAAGAGCTATATAACCAAAAGAGGACCTAAAATAAATCCATGTAATGTCAATTATGCCTGAGGGAGTTGAAACCTTAGTTTCTTAATAATTTCTGAATTCATAAACGGACAATTTAAAAAAAGGTTTGTTATAAACCATGTCAGTACCAAAGGACTGACTACTGTGCTGATAATACCCTCGGTATCCATCTGCAGCGGTATCGACCCACTGCTGTAAAAAGGAAAATATCTCTTTATAAATTTCATGCGTCCGAAGCACTTTTACCTTCCTTAGGAACGCTCCAGGCCTAATATTTGAAAGAAGATGTAAATAGGCCAAATCTGGCCTATTTCAAATGAACCTACTGAAAAATGCCAGAACAGATCTGAAAAAGTTGTATCCACAATACTTAAACTAAATTTCTAGAAGTTAACAGATTAACACAATTTCGACAATCCGGATGGAGGATAGTTATTAAGACAACTATAAATCGACCAGGACATGCACAGAAACAACTCACAATGATTAAGATAATGTTTCAATGTCTTTGATGTGTTGTGTCTTTGGATATAATCACCTCTAAAACCTTTAAAAAAAAAAAACGCCTCTGTTTACATAAATTAATGTTATGTGTGCAAATAATTAGTTTTCGTGTGCAAATCTGATATTATGTCAATTGAGTATAGATTAAACAAATTTCCTGAATATTTTGTCTATCAACTACAAAACATATTGTACCTGCTCCCTAATCTGCATTTTTGTATTGTATTATAGAGATGTAAAAGTGAAATTCAAATCCACTAATCACTGTTTGTGGATCGACTAAAACATTTGTACCTCCTTTTTATATAAAACACTCTGGTAACGGAAAGGAATCATGTCCGTCTCTTTCTGAAAAAAATCGCAATGGGATTTGACAATACTATTTAAAAAAATGAAAACAACACTTAAGAGATTTAACCCGATGGAACCTGATATATAAACATGTATATTTACCCACTGGGATGGAGAAAATTTCCTTTACATTGTCTACATAAAAATAAGAAGATGTATGATTGGCAATGAGACAACTCTCAACAAAAGACCAAATGACACAGAAATTAACAATTATAGGTCACCGTATGGCCTTCAACAATGAGCAAAACCCATACCGCATAGTCAGCTATAAAAGGCCCCGAAATGAAAGATGTTAAACTATTCAAACGAGAAAACTAATGGCCTAATTTATGCATGTGGTTTTTGTTTTTTGCTTTTGTTTGTACAGCTGTTTCGTTGAGCCCTGTACTGTTGGTTGGTGACATCAGTTGTTCTGTCAAAAAGTATTGGTAATTCCTGTTAGCATTATTATGTATTATTACATTGGTTGCAGTAAATCACCGTGATTTCCAAGTAAAAAAAAAAACACGATAATTTCACATGTGAAATAAACCTGATATTTTCACTCCACTGACTTTATGCAACAGTGGGTGATATCAAGACTAACCAATACAATTGAAAATACTTAGAAAAAATATATTAGTTCCTTTCATTTTTTACTTTATTTCCATTAAAAAGTACATGGTCAATGTAATAAAAAGAATAACTTCTACAAGAATTTAAATATAGATAAATATTCAACTCTAGATCTTGACAAACAACACTGATTATTAACTCGTTCGTGCATGAATGTGTTGTTCGGTCACTGAATATTTTTCTATTTTTGATTTCTTGGATTAGTTATTCTATAATTATCAAACATGCACAATAACATATGTACTTGTAGCCATATAAAATTAAAATGTTTAATTTCACCTGTAAGTTCTGCACTGGGTGAGTCATACCTTCAAGTAAACTTCTTCCCCTGTAAACTAAAATCAACTGTTTGTGGACTAAAACATATGTACCTCCTTTTCATATAAAACACTCTGGTAACAGAAAGGAATCATGTCCGTTTCTTTCTAAAAATGTTCATATTTACATCCCTTAACTACACTAAATATATTGTAAATTGCTGTGAGAAGAACTTTTTAATGCACTGTATATTTTGGACCGGGGACATAATCTATGGTGCACTGGAAGACTTATAAAAACTAAAAGAAACTCCCTGTTGAAGGTTTATCCCGAAGCGCTTAGAACGCCAAAATTGATAAAGTGTTATGTTCATTTATAGTTTTGTTTCAAATTAAAAATCAAAGTACTAAAGTACTGAACATCGGATGACTGCAAGTTCTTGTGGATGGTTACAAGCACTTGTCTCAGAAAAAAAAATCACATCTCTATACCTGAAAGTGAGGTTAATGTACAGATATAATTTTTTTTCTTAGACAAGTTCGTGAGTGGATGATAAATAAATGACCAGGAATTCAACCACACCGTAATAAATATGATATTGAAGTGATACAAATCAGTATACTCTGGTTTGTTGTTATATATTATATTAATATTTGTATATTACAGTTACATGTATATATAATTTTCATTCATTTGTATATCATTCTGTTCTACTATATTAATAATAGTGCAGTGCAAGTGCATGTGCATGGTGGACACTTCTGTAATAATAATTTGATTTTTTTAATAGATTGGAATTGAGAAGGCATTCATATTTTCCCGCCAAACTTTCAATCTCCCATGCAGAGTTACCGGTCCTTGAGAGAGAGGGAGGACCGATAACTCTGCATGGGAGATTGCAAACGTTCTTGAGATATTCTTCCATATGCGTTAACACACATTTTCTGTACGGGTGCATAGATATTAAAGATTTTTTTACTTATATATATATTTCTAACGACAAAACATTTTCATATTATTAATTTGTGTTCTAAAAAAAATATTTTTAGGAGTATCAATTGAAAAAATGAATTTATGACAAGCGATAAGGAATATTGTTTTGCACTCGATAATGTCCGCGTATTTATTATGTTTATAGATAGGTTACAATCCCAACACGAAAGTTACGTAATGGAAATCTAGGCGACAGCAATACATCGGAATGCCCTCACGGTCATCCGATGTAATTAGTAAATAAAATCACCAGACAATGATGAGTAGAAATGCTTAAAAGTGGTATTTTTTAGTTTTAACATTCGTCAAAAATTGGATACTTTCTACTATCGCTTTTGCTATTTTCTAGGTTCATTTGGTGATGTTGATGCATACTTCGCTTTCAGATCTGTTTTATTAGAGTATTTCTTGTGAGGGCCAATCAAGAAAATCACTTTGGTTCCTGAACACTCGATCGTTGTCATGTATGACCATAAAGTCTTAGAGGAAATTAAGCATATTTAATATCTAAAATACAAGAATTGTTGACCCTTTCCAGGTTTATTTTATATTTCAGTACTTCATGTACAAATCCTTGGAATTATACAGTCAGGAAAAAGACTAATCAGTACAATTCCATATTTTAACAACTTGTATTAGCTTTAACGGTATCTATTTCACTGTACCAGATGCGCATCTCGACAAATAATGTCTCTTTAGTGATGCTCGAGGCCAAATGTTTAACAATCCAAAATCAAGTACAAACTTAGATGATATGATAAAAATAGACCAAACTCGGAGGCTGTAAATAGCTTGTATCGTCCACTGGATATTGATACTTAATTATAACCTATTGTGTAAAATGTTGCTAAGAGCATGTATTGGCATTTCCTTTAGGCTTTAAATAAGAACTATGTGCCACCAATATCCCCTATCGCAATTTTCTAAACCTGATCAAAATCATATCATTTATCATTACTTACAACAATGTTACTGCACAAGATCTGCATTTCGACAAATAATGATCAATAATATCTCTTCAGAGATATTCGAGGCCAAAATATTTAAAAATCCAAAACATAATTCAAACGTTGAAGTGCTGATAAAACCAAAAAGAACAAAGTAATGCCAAACCAACCGAGGAATCAGAGCTTTGCATGAAAGATTATATATACAATTTCTATTTATATTATTAATTTTATTATTATTCAATAAAACAGCGAATCAGTGCTGTGTGGATGCTGTAGAATGTGTCCCAGTGCTTGCAGTGTATGCCTTGATATTTTACATTTATGGGTTTTTTGCTTGTGAGCGAGCTGTCTACTAATAGTTTTTATTATTTAATTTTTTTTTCTATTTTTCTGGATAGTTGTCTCATTGGCAATCATACCACATCTCCTTATTTTTATATTGTAAATAAAGCTTCAAGTGGGGAAGTTGTTTGTGACTACAGGGAACTTTAATTTATCTAGATATGCCTGTTATGGTCTCAATGACAGTTACCACACCTTCTTTCAATTTCAGCACATTGTCTCTATTGTTTATTAAAAAAGTTAGTAACTTTATAGATAAAAATACATTTCTGGAAGAACATGTTGAAACGAAGGATGTTTTTCTGAACAATTGAGCCAAAAAATATATTTTCTTTATTGTAAGGGGAAGCGTTGGGTGTGGGTCGCATGACTCCATACCCTCAGCATGCTCGGGTCAAAAAGAAAAATAATTCACGTTAAATGCCACACTTGACTCCTAGATATCACTTGAACCATCGAAATATATGCTCAATCATGAGTTTTGCGATTATTAAATCCATTAAGGAAACAACTTTTAATATTATTAGTGTTTTATTATAAGGAAAGGGGTATAATATTTTAAAAGAAGACTTTCGCGAAAAACGTCAAAAAACTGAACGACATCAAACCATTATTCTTCACCATGTTCAACTCCAAA